AGAAGTACTGGCATTGTACTAGGGCACTTTTACAATCTACTGTTATGTACATTCAAATCCATTTATGACGAGGCTTTACTTGCTCTAACATTCTTAGTTAAATGGGATAAGTTGAACTGTGCCTCCTGTACTTCAGTAGCACAGGTAGGCTCTCTATCAGTATACCTGCCCAATCCGTGATGCAGGTCGAGCACCCAGTGACCACACTGCCTGAGACGTTTTCCCATGTCTGCGAGGTTAAGTTTTCTTATCGCTGCTCGTAGTTATCAAACCACTGCGCCGGTCAAGGAGCGATGGTTTTTATTCCGAAAGCCATTGTCTATATTCTCCTTCTATCTTTGCTCGATTGAGAGAGAGAGAGAGAGAAAGCAATGCTTTAGTTTAAAGGTAAATATCCAAATTTTTAGCAAAAAATGGCTCCATTCACGGAGATTAAGGTAAAAGGTCATCGAATACTCAAAGTTTGAAGGTTTACACGCTATCCACATCTACTATAGAGACAGGTCGGCTTTCAACTTTTGGAATTTCCTTTTCTTCACACCTGAGGTAGCGTGCTAGGAATGGGAGTGTAGAGTGCTGATATGCTGATGTACGATAAGACATATGACGGAAACTTTGGTGCATAGTACGGGAAGACTTCGCGGCGATTAGTTCAGAGTGCAGAGGATGAGCGACCTCACAAATTGCTTGACCGTTTTCAAATGTCGCTGTATTATAATGTCAGCTAAAAAGACATAGGAAACACCAGCAGGTGAAGAGAGCATTCGAGGGTACGTTTAAAATGAACAGTTCTTTTTTAAGTAAAGCTAGAAAATAACTGGAGAACAGTACAGAATCAGGGAAGGAATGCAGGTATTTATAAATCGTCAGATTAGGGCTTGCGATGTTCGATATGAACGCAAGCGCAGGATGTAATATAAAAGCTTACGGATTTTCATAAAAAGGCCTTCTTTGTGAAGAGGAAATGTAGGGTTAGATACCAGAGTAACACCAAGCTATCGGAAAGAGGATACCTCGTTGGGCAGAATGTCAATAATTTCAGGACTGGGAGAAGGTCGCAGTCGAAGAATACACTGGACTGACTCCTGGTCGTTAAGTAGAAGGCCGTTTGCTGACGACGATGCTAAGACGTGCTGCAGGCCATATTTTAGGCACATAACTCTTATTATTCAATAGGTGAACAGTTTGAAACGAAAAGCCTCTTATGTTGTGCGTTCTCTAAATATTCAGCCTTCTCATTCGGGGCATCCATTCCTGCCTCACTGATCGTCTGCGGTCGAGCGATCTGTCTGGACAATCAACTCCGCGGCAACAACGTCTGTATCCCCTGCTTACCGCTCCCGAGGACGAAAAGGTCCTGCTAGCCCAGTACGATCACCTCTGTCTGCGCAGTGCTGAACTGATGCTCTTCAGTGGCAGTGGAACCCAGTCGGAGGTCGAAGGCCCCTGCCGGCTAGTTTGTTGGCGTCGCCTTTCCACACTCATCCCCTTCCAGCTGTGCTCTTCGCGGTCAAAACTGCGGCTCTACCAGCTCCTCCTGTCTTCAGTCTGCGCCAAGGCCGGTGACCTGGAGGCGGACTACTTGACGGAGCAGTATCTTGATCGATCTGACGGCGAGGTCGACCTAAAAGCGCTCAGTTTTGATGCCACGCAGGTGCCGCAGGACTCCGAT